AGTCTTAGACCCAATGCTAAATCTATCCCCAATTTTTATGTCTAAAAAGCATTTTCAAGTTTTATGTTCAGTTCAAAATGTGTTTCAAATAACAACAAGAACTTTGAGAATGAGGTCAAGAAAGAGCAGTTTCCATCTTGACAAAGGGGCAATCTCGGCATTGAGAGACCGGAATTCACGGCCAAAGAAGACAAGAAAATCTGGGCAAAGAAAAAAGCAGATGAGAAAGCAGGGGATTCTCGGCCAAGTGGGGTGGGGATTTTTCAGCATCCAATCATTGCCAAAGAGAGCTCGAAAAAAGAAAAGGATGAAGCTTTTCTTCACGGCTAAGAAAGAGAAATACAGGGAGAGGGTCATGGTCGGCAAAAGAGAGAAAACTTTAATATAAAAAAAAAACTGACAAGTGGTCCCGCAAAAGAAAAGAAAGAAAAAGAAGAATAGAGGAGGCAGACTCTCGTGGAGAAGGTGAAAAGAAAAAAATGAAGAGAGAGAGAGAGTCTTCCAAGTTCCCCTTTCCTTTGCACTTTAATTTCCAAGAATTTTTCGATCAAAAAAATTTTCCAAAAATTTTACTGCTCACGGTTAAATTTCTCCATCATTTCATTTCAAAGCCAAAACCGAAATCAAGTTCACCATTAAATCGAGCAACTTTTGTTCGAGTTAGAACCAAAGCGACAAAAAACCATTGTATCTTTAAAGTGTAAACGTGACCAACGTTGGAGACTTCGCAAAAGTCACGATTGACAATGACGGATGATTCTCACTGGCCACCCTCTTAGGAGGAAACTCACTTTCCAACAAAATGACTCTCACATGTTAACAAATTGCTGACCAAAGAAGATTTGGATCCAGTCTTAAATATGTCTCGAACATTTTTTTATCTAAACAAATCACTAACCAATCTTAAATTTGCCTCCATTAATTCAATGTTAAAAAACATTGTTAGTTGAATGACGTGACAATTCTATGTCAGTAAAAAAATTTATTTCAGCAAAGTGATGTGGAAAATTATATCCAAAACAAAATAGTGTTTGTTTAGAAAATTAGGAATCGATCCACCTAGATTAGTTCGCTTATTCAATTCACTAGAAAAAAAATGGCACACAAATATGTGCTTGATTTGGATTATCTAAGGAAATGAATTTAATTTGTTAAACGATCAAAAAACATTTGATCAATCTAACAAATAAGCTTTTGACCGGTTTTGTCACTAAAATAATTTATAAGGATTAAAATCGAACATTCACAAGAATATGATGATCAAAAGTTTACTTTCTTATCTTATAAGGTTTGTGCATGTAGGCACCACATAAGCCTGTACACGGGAGCTTGTACTCTTCCAGATTATAATTTTGTCCAAACACAGTAATAAATTTATCTTAAAACATGCTTGGGCATGATCATTTCATAATATTAAGGGTTAATATCACGAAAAACCCTAAACTGGTACACCTGTGACAATTTTACTCCAAATTATTTTTTTGACCACAAAAAACCCCAAACTAGTACAATTGTGACAAATTTACTCCGAACTATTTTTTTGACCACCAAAAACCCCAAATTGGTACACTTGTGATAATTTTACCCCGAACTATTTCTTTGACCACCAAAAACCCCACACTGGTACACTTGTGATAATTTTACCCCCGAACTAATTTTTTGACCACTAAAAACTCCAAACTGGTACATTTGTGACAAATTTACCCTCTGTTAGTGTCCGTTAAATTATATTAATATCACAAAAAATCACAAATTGGTAAACTTGTGACAAACAGAGGGGTGAAACCCAAAATCGGTACACATGTCAATTACCACGTGTCATTAAACTTAGCAATTTGACAATAAAATTTAACAGAAACTAACAGAGGGTAAATTTGTTACAGGTGTACTAGTTTAGGATTTTTGGTGGCTAAAAAATTAGTTCGGGAGTAAAATTGTCACATGTATACCAGTGTGGGGTTTTTGATGGTCAAAAAAATAGTCCGAGGTAAAATTGTCACAGGTGTAACAGTTTAGGATTTTTTGTGGTCAAAAAAATAGTTTGGGGTAAATTTGTCACAGGTGTACCAGTTTGGGGTTTTTCGTGGTATTAACCCTAATATTAAAACAAAGTAAACTCAAAATTATTGATTTCAAAAAATATATAGAAACTCAACATATTTGAAATTAAGTATTTTTATTTTTTAAAGGATTAATACCACAAAAAACTCCAAATTGATACGCGTGTGACAATTTTACCTTGTTTTGAAAAAGTAACCACAAAAAACCCCCAAACTGGTACACCTATAACAATTTTACCCCACCGGCCACTTTTGGCCGGCCGGCGATGACGTGGACGTCGGCCCGCTAACGTAGTAATATTTTAATATTTTATAATTTCAATTTTTTTTTAATTTTTTTGACTTTTTTCTCTCTTTCTTTTTTTTTTCCTATCTTCTTCGCGACCAACCAGAGCAGCGGCCTCGCCGGCCATGGCGAGGGCGAGCCTCGCCATTGCCGTCGCGGGTGAGGTCGGCCGAGCAGCGGCCTCGCCATGGCCGCTGCTTGCCTCGCCGTCGCACAAATCTAGGCGAGTTCCAGCTGCCCCTCGTCGATGCGGTCGTCGCCAAGCCACTCCATGATGGACCCGTCTTCGTGAAAACGATGAAGCAACAACGCCCATTGGAGCGGCTTCGTGATGGAACCGTCTTCTTCGTCTTTCAGGTTCTTGGGGGGTGTTCAGATTTCGTTGCTGATCATGACCTTGTAGTTGTTCTGCAGCGTGGAGTTCTTGCAGTGAGCGATCGCGCCCTGGATCGCTCTCTGCAGTTCCTCCATTGACGAGGCCTCCGAGCTGTTGCCGCCGCCGCCTCCTCCTCCTGCTGTCCGGACTCCTCCGACGCCGCTGAACCCGCTCCGACAGAGCACGCTGGAGTGGCTTGGCGACGACCGCATCAACGAGGGGCAGCTGGACCTCACACAGATCTGTGCGACGGCGATGGCCGCACCTCGCCCAGATCTGGGGGAGGCCGAGCGGCCTCGCCATGGCCGCTCGGCTGCTCGACCTCACCGTCGCGGGTGAGGCCGCTGCTCGGCCACTCGAACTCGCCGTCGCGGGCGAGGTCGGCAATGGCGAGGCCGCTGCTCAGCCGAGCTCGCCGTCGCCATGGCCGGCGAGTCCGCTGCTCTAGTCGGTCGCCGGAAAGATAGGAAAAAAAAAAGAAAGAGAGAAAAAAAAGTCAAAAAAATTCAAAAAAATCGAAAATAATTAAAAAATATTAAAATATTACCACGTCAGCCGGCTGGCGTCGGCCGGCGTCCACGTCATCACCGGCTGACCAAAAGTGGCCGGTGGGATAAAATTATCATAGCTGTACCAGTTTGAAGTTTTTTGTCATCACTTTTTCAAAACGAGATAAAAATTTCACGCACATACCAGTTTGAGGTTTTTGGTTATATTAACTCTTTTTTAAATTATAGTAATCCGAAAGATGAGGTGATTATTGATTTTATGTAGGTGAGGTAATAGCTTGGTGAACTTTGTTGAATTAGAATTCTTAAGTTTCTATGGTTGAAAAAGCTTTATTTAAGTTCTAAACATTATCAATTTATACAAATATAAAACCGAAAACTTGAGGATTTCTTGTGTTCTTTCGAAATATTCACTATACCCTTACCTAATGTTATGATCTTAATGAGTGAAATGAGATAAAACTATTATCCAATGCGATAAAGATATCTATGCGCGTCTTTTCTAGTTTCTTAATTTTCTAGGATGAAAGGAAAAAGGTTATGGTGGGCCTGCATTCGTGCCAAAAGCATTATTTTTCACTGAAAAAAATAAGATTTAGGTGGTGGGCCCCCATCTATTTTCTCTTCTTTCCGAGAGCTTTCTTTTGGGCTGATGAAGGAAGCTCAATATCAATTAAAATGGAAGAATACTTCAAAAATATGCGGCGGGGCTTTTGGACTTTGAATTAGTAAACAAAAGCCTTATTGAAAATAATTGAAGCGAAAACAATAGGAAAACAAATTTCATCTTTCATTGGTCTCCATTCAAGATATTTGATTATTTCACAAGAAACTTCAGTATAATTTCAGAAATTTGTTAAACAAATTAATTTAGAGCTTTTGTCCAACGACTTTAGGATAAACGATCATTGATAATACAATAATTTGATAGTGAAATGAAATTTATCTGTTTGATGCGACAATACAAATCAAGATATTGCCATGACCAGTTGTCTACGATACCATAACTGCAATTGTCTTTTATTTTTGGTTTTATTTTTTTTCATTGCTTTGCATCGAAACTTGCTCACATGTTTTCTTCTTCCTGGGTAGGATCGCCTTGCATTCTCCTGTGCGTTGAAACTTCCACCACATAAAGGCAACGGCTATAAATGCCTGGTCAGTGGTCCGGGTCAAAGAATTATTAATTTGTATCTAACTTGACATGTTTGAATTATTGGTGCATTCCTACTGGGTGGATCAGATACTTCAAATAAATAAATAAATGTATAATAAAGCAAAAGCAAAAGCAAAAAGGCATTTTGATTTTTTTATGATATTTAAAGGATAAATTAAGGCAGAATCAGAGCCAAAAAGATATCTTCTCATTGTACTCGGATACAAAATAAATAAATATATATATAGCATGTTGAAATTTTTTTATGATTCTCGACACGCGTAAAAACATAATTTTTTAGAATAAGTAATTGTTAATAGTACAACATTTTATTATAAAAATGAAGTTTCTTGGTTGCATGGTATAATATTTAAAAGGCTCAAAGAGAGAATGTTAAATTTCTAAGTGGGATTTAGAGTTTAAATATATTCAACAAAAACAAACTCGAAAAGGACAGTTCCATGGTGCAATCAGTGGACCAAGCGTGCCCTCTTTCCTGTCGTGACGCTTTGATGTTTTTATCTGTTCCGAGCACCTGTCTGGAAAATATGTGACCCGACGAATCTCCCCCCCTCTCTCTCTTTCTCTCTCTCCCCACCATTATCTTCTCCCGCAAATCCATGTCACAGTCTCGTCCCAAGTCGTTCTCCCTCTCCACTTTTCATCTTCCCCCAACAAATCCATCGCTTTATGTGTACTGAAATTTTAACAGACCCCAATAGGATGGGCAATGAGAAGGCATTTCCCGTTTCCTGAGAGGCAGGCATTCTGGTTTTTTCTCCGTCAGATTTGAGAGCGAAAATCAAGGGCAGAGTCGGAGCAAAGACGAAATGCATCTTCTCATTTTTGGGCATTCTTTCGCCGAGCTCGTGGCACTGATCCTTCTCCCTGGGCTTGCGTTCTATTTTCTCAATAAGAAGAAAGCTAATGCGCGAGATGCTGATGCTGGCGCATCTGATTCGTTGATTGCGCTGACGGAAACTAATTCTGGTGGATCTAGTTCATCTCCGACAGAAACGAATAACGGTGTATCTAATTCGTCTCCGACAGAAACTAGCAACGGTACATCTAGTTCGTTGACTGCGTCAACTGGGAATTGCTATGAGGTGTTTTTGAGTTTCAGAGGTCCAGATACTCGAAAAGGCTTCACCGATCACCTCTATATTGGGCTCGTTGATGCTGGAATTCGTACTTTTAGAGACGATAACGAGCTCCGCCAAGGCGAGGAGATCGGCCCAGATCTTTTGGCAGCCATCAAGAACAGTAAGATCCTGATCCCCATTCTCTCGGTGAATTATGGATCGAGCAAATGGTGCCTAGATGAACTGGTTCAAATAATGGAGTGCAAGAATAATAATGGGCAGATAGTGTTGCCTATATTCTACAAAGTGAAACCAGCAGACGTGGGACATCAAATCGGGAGTTTCGGAGATGCATTTCATGAGCGTGAAAAGCGTTCGCTTGAGAGGAGTTTCGACCCAACAATTTTGGAGAAATGGAAGAAAGCACTCCTTGCGGTCAGCACCTTGAAAGGATACGAAGCCGATGGGTAAAAGTTTTCATCAAATCATTCTCTACTTTCTTATAATATGTATGGGTGTTTACTGGTTGTTCTGATTCTCACCTGCTTCATTTTCATTCTTTTATATATATTAAAAAACAGTAAGATCCTGTCACGCATGAGTTCTACAAGTTATTCTTTTTTTATTTTTAGTTTTTTGCTTTGATGATAATGACCAATCTATTTATAGATTTTATTGTTATGATCTCATTCGCTTGAATAATAAAATTTTTTGAATGAATTTTTACTCTTATATCCAAAGATTTGAAACATTGTGCCATTTTTTTTTTCATGTTTATAGTGTACGTCACATTATGTAGAATTGCACAAATAAGGACAAATTCCCTCAATTGTATTAAGGTAGTTCACTATATAGCACTTCGAACAACTTTCTAGATTGATATTATGGGACACGAATTTCTCTTGCATCAGAAGTTATATATGTCATATTTATTGAAAGATCGTTGGACTCTCTTACAGGGCTGGCTTATTGGACTTCTTATTCAAAAACTCTAGAAAGTTTTTAAAGTTACATCCTGTCATCCACGTCATCTTAGATAGCTTTAACAAACAACAAGTTTAAATTTTGATTCAAATGTATAACATATTCAATTCAAAATTCATTTGTGATATCCTCAAATTTCTTCCGGCTCAATAAATTATGTCAAAGTAATAATGGATTAGGGCATGCCATGCGAAGAAACCACCAACATTTCCTGCTTTAGTCTTAGCATATAAGATAATACATGGAGGTGTGACCAAAGCAATTTTTTTAATTTTTCAATTTGTCCCCAAATTTGTTTATTATTGTGTTCTCATTAGATAAATAACATAAAATGACTGTTGCCACATATTTGAACTCGTAACATTTGATAGGTATGAAGGAGAATTGGTGAAATTGGTCGTCCAAAAAGTGTTGAGGGAGCTGAAGAAAGAGTTTGCGTTGGTTATTCCTGAAAATTTGGTCGGAATTGATGGTCATGTGGAGGAGGTTATGAAATTTGTAGATAATAATTCTAGTGCTACCCTATTTATCGGAATCCACGGAATGGGAGGAATTGGTAAGACGACTCTTGCTAAAACCATCTACAACAAGCTCTCCAATCAGTTTAAGTATCGTAGCTTCATTGTAGATATTAGGGAATCATGTCAGCGTAATGGACTTGAGTACTTGCAGAATCAACTAATCTCTGATATATTGAACCAAAAGAACTTATACTATAATAAGGATGATGGGACTAAGTTCATCTCATCAAAGTTCAAAGATAAGAAAATCCTTATTCTTCTTGATGATGTGGATGATGTTAATCAGTTGAAGGCTTTGGTTGGAAACCATGATTGGTTTTCTTCTGGAAGTAGAATCCTCATAACCACTAGAAAAGTTAGTGTTCTTGACAATGAAGGGGTGGACTTCAAATATGAACATGAGGTAATGGATGAGAATCATTCTATGGTCATGTTTAGTAGACATGCATTTCGAAGTAATTCTCCTCCAAGTGAATTTGAGGACCTCGCTCATGATGTTATAACTACCACCGGAGGGCTTCCCTTATCTCTTGAGGTTTTAGGTTCATCTTTGTGCGGAAAAAAGCCAGCATTCTGGAGAGGTACAATAGACAAGTTAAAAAAATTCCCTCATCAGAAAGTGCGAGAAAAGTTAAGGATAAGTTATGAAGAATTAGATTATGGACAAAAACAAATATTTTTGGATATTGCTTGTTTTTTCATTGGCACTAACAGAATAATCACATCCTATATGTGGGACGCCTGTGGCTTTTTTCCAGAAGAGGGAATTGAAGTATTGAGATTCATGTCATTAATAAAAATTGGAGATCATCATGAGTTCATAATGCATGACCAACTGAGAGATCTTGGAAGGGAAATAGTACGCGAGGAAAACCAAGAGGAGCCTCAGTACCGTAGCAGGTTGTGGGACTCCAAGGAAATCCAGAAAGTGCTAAAGGAAAATAAGGCAACCATTTCGTTCCTTTTGCTCACTTAGTCCATGTTCTACTGTTAGAGTAATGCTGGTCCTCTACTTGCTGCTTGCTCTAGTGAACAGAGAACTTATGCTATAATTGCCCTCGAATGTTTCATTGACTTGATTAGAAAGTAGGGAAGTTGCTCTCTCTTAATAAGTATTGTTGTGTTACGTGAGATTTTTCTTTAAGTGCATATTATGAAAAGATCTTGAACTTTTAGTTGCTTCATGTACATCTTCAACACACGCATTAAATAACTTGACTATGCTACTATAAACCATAAGTACTCAGGATATATAAATCATAGAATTATAATCTCTAGATGTTAAAATTAATATAATAGGACTAGCGATGCCCGCATTTCTCATCAAATTTTAGTCATTATTCCATAATGGAGAATGGAAGGGATACTTATTTTATGTTATATTATGTTAGGAATTCCATTTACCAATATTGATTTAAAACTTACCGAATAAGATAGGAACAGAAATTCCTGATACATAATATATATGTGTGGGTATATGTATGTATATTTATAACATAAAGCGTATTTTATGCAACAACCATTAAAAAGAGAAATGTTTTAATTTTTCTTCATAAAAAGTCCAAGAGATAAATACTCAAATTCTATTTTGTATAATTAAGTATGTGATTGTATTTGCATTTGTGAAATTAATCATAATTTTGATTCCACTACTTTTAATCCATCATTTGGGTTGACTCAAGTTGTTGCACAAAAGACTAGCACTTATTTGCGATCTCAATGGGCAACCCATGTATAATCTCATGAGCCAATTCATATATTAACAAATTCAAAGCCAATGTCTATTTATTACGTCTTTTTGTACTACATGATTAAATAAACTAAACTAACCAAAAGAAAAACGAATATGATGTACATTTTATATACAAGTAAAATGGTATAGCCAAATTTTACAACTAAAAAGGTACATTTTTATATAATTATTTCAGTATTTTTGCATGTCTCAATTTCACTCTTCATCCATGGTACTATCTTAACAAGAAGCCCAGCCTTTTGCATATGGACAAAAATAGCATTACCTTTCTAACTCATCTTGTTACTCATGGGACAAAAATGACACCCGCCAGCAATTCTTCCTACTCTCACTTTGAATTGCCCCGCGTCATCCTACATAGCTTATTGTGTGAACGTGCACAAAGAACCACGTTAATCATGACCACAAATGACTTCTTCTTTTTTTACAAAAATCTGGAAATTTTGTAAGAAAGATCATAAACAAAGTTTGTTAACAAGATTATAAAATAAAACATGGTGTCTTTTTTGGTGTGGGTTGACATGGCTCATTGTATGCGTTAGCACAATGACCAATGTAAGGGTATGATGGCGATTTAACGATGATAATGGATGAAATTTATAACAAGTGTCGGTTTTGTTCTACGGTTAAATAGTTGGGCTATTTTATTGTGTTTGAAAGGTTATATTATTTTTTTCTTGGATGCTGAAGGTTAGGCTTTTTAGACGTTTGAAAGGTTTTGCTACTTTTGTCCCAAGTACAAAAGGTTGGCCTATTTCCGGGATTTGGCCAAACTTTAGCTATTGATTTTTGAAATTGAAAAAGTTACACACCACACAAAGAAATCTTGAAGATAGATAGGGTATCTTGATATTTTGAGTGGGAAGTTTATGAGGGAAATCACTAATGTGAGTAGATTACTTCTGTTGAAGATTTCTTCCTTCCTTTTTATAGTTACTCTTCTCTTGTATTCCTTTTAGGTGTTGAAATCTAATTCCTTCCCAAATTATTATGTGGTTCACCTATCAATATCCATGAAAATCTTCCTTCTTTACTTCTTGCGCATAATTGATTTTTTTTTTTTTGTGAAAGCTTGCTACACATTTGGTTATCAAGAATAACTATTTTATTTCCAATCTATTCTGATGAAGCAATTATTCCTTCATTTTGTAAACATACAGATTAGAAATTACTATTCTCTCACAATAAGAAATAGTTATTCCTGGGGGGCCAAGGAAAAGCTATTCCATGTAGGCTTGTAGACAAGAATAGCTTCAATTTTCACATTTCAAAAATGCTTTGCACTTTTAACAATTTAAATATTTCTAATCTACATCAAAGTTATTAGGGTCGGTTTATAATATTTATTATACTTGAGTAACTCAGTTATTTATGATTATGATTATATTAAATTCTAATCTATAGTTAAACTAAAATGTATGATAAAATAATAATTTGTAGAGATTATTAATATAACTAATAAGTTATTTTTAATTATGAATATATCAAATTGTAATCTATAGTTAAAATAAAATCTATGATAAAATAATAAGTAGTAGAGAATATCAATATAACTAATATTATTGTCTTCTTTATTTATAATTAATTAACAATATATCAAGTTACTATTAGTAAAATAATAAGTACATAGTATATTAATGTAACTACTATCACAATATTCGGTTTCTTGTAATTAGTTATTACTCCAATGGAAAATAAGAGTATATATTATTTTTTTATTAATCACGTTAGTAGCACAATTGAGTAATATACATGAAATTAATATGAAACTTACAGAGATAAAAAATTATATTTTTGATTTTGCACATTACAATTTGATTAAATTCTGTGCATTGCACGCATGTCTTAACTAGTATGGTAATGAAGCTACATTACCGGAAAGAAGAAGATTACAAGTTGAGGTTTTTACTCTATAGGAGTCATTACCTCATAATTCTTTTGAAGATCCGAATGTGTATGGCCAAATTTCAAAATGCAGGTTGACCTCCTTCACTTCATTAGCCTTAACGAATACTGTTTATTGGCGTAAAAAGAAAATCATATCTTCACATTGCTAGTCTATTGAACTAATTATTGCGCGTCAATAGCAATATGAACAAATGATATTCGATTACTTTAGTTGGATATAGTATTAATGAATATTTATTCTTGCTTATAGGGAACGGATAAGATTGGGGCGATTAATTTGAATGACTTCGGCAAAACAGCTGAGCCAAATGGCGACATTTATGCAGAAATACAATTCAAGAATTTAACGAGTCTAAGATTCCTTCATGTGGTGTGGGCACAGCTCAGTGGAAATTTTAAGGATTCAATGGAGAGGTTAAGATGGCTTCGATGGCAATATTGTCCTATGAATTTTGAAGTAAAAAATTTTCGCATAAATGAATTAGCTGTACTCGAATTGTCAGGAGCCGTGATAAATGAGAAATGGGAAGGATGGAGTTCTTTCATGGTAAAAACAAGTCTTTTTTTCTTTTATTTTTTTCATTTATGCTTTCTTTTGAATTATAATCACTCTAGACTAATCCTTTTGACAACCATTATTATTTTTATTTTACCAGCTGGCAGAGAAGCTCAAATATCTTGACCTCTCGTTTTGTGAATTCTTGGAAAATACGATCTTCCTCTCCGCTTTTAAGCATTTGGAGGTTCTCATCCTCTCTTTTTGTCCGAGACTGCAGCAGATCGACTCTTCAATTGGAGACGTGAAGGCCCTCCTTCGCTTGGATTTGAACATGTGTGGGTCCCTTAGGGAGCTTCCAGCAGAAATAGAGTCTCTGGAGAATCTAGAGATTCTCGACATATCTGCAACCGATATAGGACAATTACCCAAGGGTATTGGGGGGCTGAGAAAGCTTCGAGAGTTACGCGCTTTGGATTGCGGAAATCTGAAAGGGGAAATGCCGGAAAGCATGGGGTCTTTGGAGAATCTAGAGATTCTAGATATTTCTAGGAGTGGTATAGAAGAATTACCCAAGGGTATATGGAGGCTGAGAAAGCTCCAAGAGTTACATGCTTTATGTTGCTACAATCCGAAAAGGGAATCATCGGAAAGCATACGCAATCTGTCTTCCCTACGCTGCCTTGATATTTCTGACTGCCATAAGCTCCAATCGCTGCCGGATCTTCCTTCCAGCTTAACATATTTGGGCGTCACTTGTCAAAGTCGCAAATTGCCTTCACTTTCCCACCTAACCCATCTCAAGGAACTAGACGTTTGGGGCTGCAAATTTCTCGAGTGCATCCAGGTGCTTCCGTCAACACTAGTAGAGAACTCGGAATGCTCCCAACCGAGGGATGTTGAAGAATCAGAATTACCACAATCCCTAAACACCCCCTTCAAGTTGGAACATTTGGGAGTCAATGCGTGTCGATCTATTAAAACGCTGGACGTTTCACAGTTTATCCATCTAAGGACATTATATGCCAGTCAATGCGATAGTCTTCTTGAAGTTCGAGGTCTTGACAAATCGATATATTTGGAAAGCTTGATTGTCCCGTGGTGCGGTTCAATTGAGAGGTTGTTCCTTCCAAAATCCAAGAGCCTGAAGAAATTAGATGCTGGATGGTGCATGAAATTAGCCGAAATCCAAGGCCTCGATAGGTTGGAATTTTTGGAAAGCCTGGATATCTCTTGGTGCACTTCCATTGAAAGGCTAGACCTTCCCAAATCCGGGAGGCTGAAGATATTAAAAGCTTATTGCTGCGAAAACTTAGCCGAAATTCAAGGCCTCGATAGGTTGGAGTTTTTGGAAAGCTTGGATATCTCTTGGTGCGATTCCATTAAAAGGCTAGACCTTCCAAAATCCGGGAGGCTGAAGATATTTAAAGCTGATGGCTGCAAAAACTTAGCCGAAATTCAAGGCCTCGATAGGTTGGAGTTTTTGGAAAGCCTTGATATCTCTTGGTGCACTTCCATTGAAAGGCTAGACCTTCCAAAATCAGGGAGGCTGAAGATATTAAAAGCTGATGACTGCAAAAACTTAGCCGAAATTCAAGGTCTCGATAGGTTGGAGTTTTTGGAAGAACTGAGGATCTTTAGATGCAAGTCACTCAAAACAATTCCAGAGTTACTGAGGATCTTTGAATGCAAGTCACTCAAAACAATTCCAGAGTTATCTGGAACGCAAATTTATCAAGATTACGAGGAATCAGACGATACGGACAACTCGTATGAGTCAATACAATGGAAATGATCCCCATTTTCTAACGAAGGTACATAAAGCAGGTAAGTTACCTTTGCTCTTTTGAGATCTACGGCCCAATTTTTGTTTGTATTTCCTGCTTGCAATATCTTTCAAGATTTATGATCTTGTCATTTGTTATTTCCTGGTTGACAGTGTCATGATTGTATCCTTACTTGGATTCAAGGTATCCGGGGGAGATGTTCTGTGACAACCCGGTCCGACGAGGGCGGGGAGTGGTCGCCGCGGTCCGAGGACCTGGACAAGGAGCGGCTTCTGACAAGCTTCTAGGATGGCAAATGGGGTACGTCTCCTGTCCCACATCGCTTGAGGGGAGGAGTCCTGGGCAACTTATAAAGGCTTAGGAAGCCTTAACTTGTGAGAGGCCTTTTTTGGGGTAGTATGGACTGCCCTCGGAGGAACAAAACCGTGAGGACTTAGTGTTCAAAGCGGACAATATCTTGCGAGTGGGATCCAGGTCATTACATGTTCATGGAAGTTAATGTGTGCTTTGGCAATATGATTCTGCTTATCATGCCATTAACGGAAATAGATGAAAAGGCTTTCTAAGCGCATCATTTGTCATTAGTCTTCGAGTAATATCCTTCATCCTATGGAGAAAAATAAAGATTCTTAGCATTTGATTGATTCTGGAATGCTGGAAGTACCGAATAAAAACTGATGTGTACATGTATTTGATAGCATGTCAAAGGTCATTTTATAGGTTGAGAAATGCTAAATGAAGGACCCTATATGGCGGTCCTTCTAATGTGAGGTTTTAGTTTGCTCTACGCTCACCATGTAGTTCATGACTGGATGTTTCCAAGGTACACTTAAGAGTGAATTTACCGAGCAAAAGGAGCATGTTGACAGGGCATCCCTTAGTATGCATACGCTACTAACTTGGGATAAATTTATCCAACCATTGTGTTTCACACGTTTTACGCTTGCATTGTCCCTGAATCAAATCCCGCCTGCAAACTGCATAAGGACAGAAATGAAACAGACATCATTCTTCCAAATAATGCATCTTGATGTTTGTAGAGTTGGTAAAACCATCTGTCATGTACCTGAACTTTTGATCCAAGCAAGACATTAACTAGAATGTCTTTTGACATAATCGACTGTACTGTGAAATAAACCCTTATATTGTGCATAAGCTCTTGTTAGTACATTTACTTGCTGAAAATAAAAAGAGGAAGCAATTCCATAATCAGGAAACTTTTTTGAAAACTGTCTTGCATTGATTCTAATGCATGAATAGCACATAATTTTAAGGAAAAGAATCATACTATGTCCCACAAAAGCAAGCAACTTGAGTTGAATTCACTATGCTAATTTGATCAAGGCTTCTGTGGTTGATGATGTTAGATCCCCATTAGTTGGATCCAAAGAGTTCAAAAGGAATATCGAGTTTGACAAACAGAGATCCATGAACTTCGGAGTATTATTAGTAGTTCATTGATGTTAGGTGCTGGATTGATTTCATTTGACTCACTGGTAGCATTCGGTTATCATTCCACTAGTTGAAGTAAATGGCGAAATATACAAGAGAGCTTTTGCAAGGCACTTCTAAAAGGAATCGAAATCATCAAAGGATCAGAAGCTTGATGTTTCTTGAACTTCTCCGAACCATGACAATGCGTCCTTGGAATGGTAAAAGGTTGTTTGCATGTGTTCATCCCACGTTGCCTTGATTATATTTGACAGAAGCTTTGCAGAGCTGAAACTGTCCGCCTCCACTCCTGTAATCAAGTCTGTCTCTCTCTCTCTCGCTCTTCCATCTTCGTCTCTGCTCTTCAACTGCCTCTGTTCCCTAACTAGCCTCGAGCTATCCTCTGGGTTTTCGGCTCCTTCACAAGTTCTCTTTCAGCTCGCATCCTCACGATTTGTTCCAGCACTGGTGCTGCGTTTTCAGCTGCTTGCGGAGCTTTTTAGCTATGGAGACCGATGAAGGACCGGAGCGCGTGCTTCCATTTCAGCTTAAGTTCGATAAACCGCTGGCTTCTCAGGTTCGGCTCCCGGCGTTCTTTTGCGACCTAGTGGGCGGTCGACTCAATTGTTCCCACTCGGTTTTGTGAAGTTTTCTCGATTTCCTATTGGCAGGTGAAGATGGCGGAGTGGAATCCGGAGAAGGATTTGCTGGCGATGGTCTCGGAGGACTCAAAGGTGGTGCTTCATCGCTTCAATTGGCAGAGGCTATGGACAATCTCTCCTGGTAATTGCTTCAACTAGAGAAAGTTCTCTTTTTAATTCAGCGTGTTCGTTTCTTCAACGATGCTTGGTGTGCCCTTTGAATCATTGACCTTATCTCGTTTCACTTATTTCGCTTTTCCTAAATGTGCTACGCTTACTTTTCCCAAGAGGAACCACTGTAATTGCCAATCTAGCTCGAGTTGCGTTCAATGGAGAATTGGACAAATATAGAGGTGAAGTGCTTGAAAGTCCAAATGAGAACATGATGTCGAACTAAGGAGTTGGTGTTTTACAGAAACAGAGTGAATGAAGGTGATACAAGTGGAAATCTAGAGATGACTTAGTTGCAAATAAAGAATTCCAAGCTGATATCAGTTGAATGGGGGGACTTTTAGTTATAGGCACGATACATTCCTCTCAACTTTTAGACATGGTTGGTGCCTTAGGGGATTTTTCCCTAACTTAACCGACATTCATCTAGACCAACTGGAAGTGTACCATACTGCTGTATTGCCATCTTGTTTCCCTTCTGGGTACACCAGTTAAAGTGTCCATGAAAATAAGGAATATGAATTGGAGGGATGTCATTCATGCTAGATAGACTAGCAATGTCAGATGCAGAAATGCTTGATACCCACATGGAGTTGGTAGGTTTAGGCCCTGCAGAATACCATCTCAATGCTGTCAGGCATCCATATAGTTTTCCTTAGATTTCTATTGCTGACTCTCACAATGTAATGCTACTTCTGGCTCCTCTTCTTCCTCTTTTTTACTGATTGAGGGTTCCCTACTAGGAGTTGGTAGGTTTAGGCTGGAAAGTTTCTCACATTTGGTACTACTTGAAGTTAATTTATCTTCTTCTGATTACAGAGGGCATTTCGTCACATCATTTTGACAAATCAAGTTCGCTGGTGGGAGTGTAACTTACTAGTTAATAGGATATGTCAAGCTACGCTACATACTTGTATGACAATCTGGTCGAGAGGGATGGAGTTAGGAATTAGAGAAAGTGCAGAGAATAGGAGTGTTGAGGGAGCTGAATCCAAGTATGTTAAGTTCTTATATGACTTTATCTCTTGGTAATTCAAATTCGTAAGAGCTTAGGATTAGATGCCTAGCCTTGGCAGTTCTTGCTATCTATTCTCACTGGAAAAATTTAGAGAGGAGGCCTTCTTTCTTCAGAAACATCTAAATGCTTCGCGCATCATATTGTCTTCTCGATTTGGAGAGCATGTTGTTGAGTGCACTATAGTACTCGAGCCAACCCTTGAATGGTTTCTGTTGAGATCCTAAGTTGTAGACACTAGTACAGTTGTGATCCTTGCCTGAAGTAAGCTTTCATGGATCCACTCCACCTCGAGGTTCCAAAGCGGAACAACAAGATTCGTTTTTGGATTGAGATAATGGATTGGAGGCTGGCAAAACGATATAGATTCCCGTTGCTTTAGATGACCTACTAGCCCAAAGAAATCCCATATTAAGTGACCAATATCCCTCTTAGTTATGTTGTATTGTTATGACGCTTTTGCTACCCTTCACAAATTTTGATTAACATGTCTTGGTTATGTGCGTTCTCTATCTTCCCTCTTCTTCTATTTTTATTGTGAAGAAATTATTCATTCTCTCTCTCTCTCTCTCTCTCTCTCTCTCTCTCTCTCTCTCTCTCTCTCTCTCTCTCTCTCTCTCTCTCTCTCTCTCTCTCTCTCTCTCTCTCTCTCTCTCTCTCTCTCTCTCTCTGTTGTTTTTTATGAACCCACTTTTCTTTGCACATTCATTTTTTGTAGTCAATACTCCTTTCTCTTAATTATTCTAATCTACTTCAGGCAAATGTATAACATCATTATGCTGGCGTCCTGATGGCAAGGTTGCTGTCTTGGACTTGAAGATGGTACAATTTCACTGCATGACGTAGAAGTACGTTTTCCATGCTATTGCTGTAATGTTGCCCTCATTACTTCTCAACAGAAATTCCTCCCGCAAGAATCCTTTATCATCAGAATGTGTTCTTCTCTGATCTCTCTTGGGAAATATTCTGAATTGCTCAAAAGCTGCATGATGCAATGCAAACAGCAAGCTTTCTGAATGAACATTTAGCTGCTAATAGAGATGGCAATCCACGTTTACTGGTCATGTTTGCCAATGCCAAGTTGATATGGATAGGTAGATCTGAGCTGGATAAGCTTAACAAATCTTATTAGATCATTGAACGTGGCCCATTCAACAAATGAGAACAGATGAATAGCCTGTTTGACTAATTAGATAGAATGGGTCATTCTAATCCAAACATGACTGACACAGCATAAATAACTAATACAATATGTACAATGTGCATATCTTCGTCAATGTTAAAGCCTTAAGCTTACTAAGTCCTTGGTTAACATAAAATCTTGTATTTGTATGGTGTAATTGCGAAAACACAATTTATGTATGAAATTGTGATAAAACTTACTGAACTAAATATAAATAGGTTGAGATAGGCCAGGTTGCTAATCAAGTTGGGATGATTGTTTAGTTAGATAGATTACATGAGTCAATTTGTGTTATGTGGTTCGATCTTTGACCCCAAAAATCCGCTTATTAATTGTGTTAATTGTTAAGTAGGTTGCCACAACCTTGACATGATATGACTACCACTCAGGTTCACCCATAGTTGTCACGTGAAAATATCTAAATCTATGGATTGTGAATCATGAATTAAATCTAATGAAATCAGGAAGTTTGATATAGTGTTTATGATTGGTATTCCATGACAAATGTAAATTGATTGTGAAGTATGATTTTCTTTTCTTTTAATATTAGGTAGTTCCATAATCAATGATAAAGATATTTCAAATTAAGCTCATTTTATGATTTTTAGACATTAGATATTATACAGATTATTTTGCTTTGTCAAAGTACCGCATTTAACTGCAAGAACACAAAGATTGTGTACATACTATTGTTTTCGGGTTAGTAATGTAATTGGATTCTAATTTGTAGAAATTAGTGTAAGACAATCAAAATA